TGTTTTTGGTAAACTGAATTAATATTACTCTAAATTTTATATCATAAAATAAATCATGATTTTAATCCCTAAAAAATCTAAATCTTAGTTCTTAACACAATCAACCATATTGTATGTGTTTTTATATTTTTAAAGCACCGATAGTTTAGTTATTTTTATATTTGTATATTATTTTTAAAGCAAAATATGTTTTATTATTATCATAGGGTATTTCTCTAGTCTTAATCTAAACTCGAATTTAGTCTAACACTATGGTACCCGTTCTCACATGGATGGAGCATGGTAGTTGTCGGGTTGAAATATATCGACTTTGACATGACGCTATTTCTACTATTATGTCGGTGGCTAAGTTAATCAGCCTATACCTTATTTAAGAAAATGCTTTTGTATCGTTAAATTTTAAAATTAATAAGACCTTCTAAAGAACTGGAGTAGATTGTAAATTTTGTACCAAAAAATCCTGATTAATTCCTTAAACATGTAAATTGTCAGATATTTTTGCCAATCATAACGTCTACGATGGTGCCAAACATGGTTTGAAGTTAAAACACATCTTATGAAAGTGATATGTGATTGTGGCCGAAGTCCTTAAGATATGAGACTATATGGGCTGGTGAATTGAAAGCATATAACATTATAAATCTGTTATTTTATGATTTATATTTATGGGTGTAGACTGAAAAGAAAGTTTGAAAGCAATATGGGTTCAAATGGAAACAAATAAATTCATAACTTAAGTGGCCCAATAACGAATTTAGCGGAGAATAATATACGGTCCGGACATTTCGTCACGTCGTTGCTGTGTTGTGTCGTGTTAGTGTGTTACATTTCGATCATGTAACCGAAGTTGGTGACGATCTTGTAACCGGAAAAAATACTAGTTACCTCATTTTTCAATAACCAATTTTCTCCGCTCCATGCAAATTGAATGATAAGGCGGATTGCTTGGCCTGTAGTAAGTATATCACTTTCCGACTTTTTTTTTTTTTTGATAACCTAGTATCCGACCACTAAGCGTGATCGACTAGCCCACCGGGCCTAAACCCATGTCATGACAGGATTTTTAAGCGTCCACTTAAGGGCCCTTGGTTACGATAAGTGGTCTGGAGCGCCACACCAACTCCGCATGTAAATTATGTGGTGGCCGGGGTTCGAAGTCGGATGACGGGCACCTCAGCCGAGGTTCCTTTACCACCAGCCGGGCCTAAATTATCATACACTTTCCGACTTTTATATTTCACGTATGTATGTATGTAAGCTATGTTATTTCAAACATTTTGTTTTAGTACAAGTGTATGATAATTTGGTTTATTGCATGTTTTCACATCTAAATTTGTTTCTTTCTCTTAATTAACGCCTACAAGAAGGTACTAAGTCAAAGTCCACTTTAGCCCAACATGCCGAATAGTATAATTTCCGTTCATATTACTTTCGTATATATCAATATTTCCGTCCATAGTGCTTCGTATATATATCATAATTTGCAGAGTATATCATATTTTGTCATCTATACTATTAAAGTTGAAGTACAAAAAGTTAAGTGTTTGGAAACATGAATAGGAAATATTTAAAATTATGATGATTGGAAATAGGGATAGCCTACAAATTTAATGGACTTATTTATTAAACTAAAGATTATTGCGGCCCAATGTACTATTATTATTGTTTTTGGGTTTTCTATCATTAATATTACTTTACTTTTGAAAATTATTTAAACATATATGTATTCATGTTTTAAATATATTTAGAATAAATCAAGAATAATATATATTTTATTTATATAATTTATATTGACTATTGTTATAAGTTTTTAACAGTGATATACTAGCCTTCCAATTCTTCATTAAAAAATTAACTTAACAATTTGACTAAATTATTTAGTGTATATATCTTTGCACCAAATTTAGCCAAAAAAAACTTTATAAACTATTACTAAAATGTTTACGGGTCACAACATTTTACGACGCCCATGTTACATAATACAGTGATAAAATACAATATTTAAACAGTAGACTATTACTTAGTAAAATTGGAACCATTAAATAGTAATTTTGAAATGTTATATATACTATAAAAACAAAGACCCGCCCAGTCAGGCGGGTTATGATCTAGTTTTCTTTTATGCTAAACAAAGAAATATTGAACTTTTCTTTAGATGAATTGTGATTTGGTATATATTACATGGACTTGCATATCTAAATGAGTCAAGGCCCATTAAGTTGTTGAGACCATTTTTTTTTTTTTTTTTTTTTTTTTTTTTTTAATATAATATGTTTTATTAATCTTCCCAAATGGGCATCATATAATTACAATCAAATCAGGGCTTAAGCAAAAGACGGTACAACCATTGAATTGATAGCTTTGAGTTATCGGACACACAGCCAAGTTGTGGGCGCAACTCCGGATCCTTCCCTCATCCCCATCGCTCCGGTTAATCCGGTAAGGGAACAAAGTCCTACTCTCCCCTTAGTTGATGTAACCATAGTCTCTGAAGCACTGGAGACGACAAGAACACATACCTGATGGCTTCGGAGACGAAAACACCAAGCTAAATGTCAAAACACACAAGACACAACACAACACAACCACACGACTGGTAAAGGGACCACCACAGCCTCTACGAAGAGGGACGGTAGAGGCCACACCGAAACAAAACACAAACATACTAAAAACGGACTCGAGACGGCAGCCATTCCAGACCCAAGAAGCTCCAAAACCTGAAAGAAGAATCAGTGATATAACACTGCCAATGAGGCCAAATTAACCAACCATTAGCACTGGGATGTGCTACAACACCACAAGAAGTCACCGAGGCACGGTCGGAATCCGGAGATAACCCGTATATCCACCAAAAATCCCCGCCTTGTGCCGCTTCCGAGAACCGGAAAACGATTTCTTCACCATGTCTGAAGTTGATCCGGTGACAAACGGAGCAACAGACCACCACAAAGCACAGGAGCAACACGTCGATGAAGCTAACCGGTAAGCTACGACGAAGAACCCAAAGACCAGAACCGTGAAGCGAATGGACGGATGAGAGGGAGACCATCGGAGAAGCTGCAGAATAGCCATAGACGACCACACCGAGATCAACTCTTCAAATCTCCAAACACCTACGCCTGAAGCACCAACACACGTCAACTACCGCAAGCTGAGCGTATCTCCGAAGTAGAGAAACCTTCCAGAGCTCTCATGGCGGCGAAAACAGAGGACAAGACTCGCCGAGACACCAAGGCTAAGCCAACAGCCCAAGAAACGTAGCCACTCCACACGACCACCAGGAAAGAGCAGATCTGAGAACCCGCATACCGGATCTGTAAAGAGAGTCGCCCACCCGCCGTCACGCGCTACCGGCTCACCGAATGGGTCAAGACCTAGAGGAAAACAAAGACCCACCCGAAAGCCCTAAAAGCCGACTCCTAGACCACCTCCGCCGCTTCAAACTCGCACACACACCAGAGAACCGAGACGAACGCCGAACCCAGCCGCGGTTCCTTCGCCGGCGGTACTCATCTTCCAGGGCATGCCGCATATCGCAAGAAGCTATAGAGGAAGGAGGAGAAGCAACCAGGAAAAGAGAGAAGAGGGGAAAAGGGGACCTCCGGCAGCGGCGGTGAGACGCACGCGCCGGAGAAAGACGAGATCCAATCAGTTGTCGCGAGAGAAGATTAAGAGGAGAGAGACTCTTCTTTTGATTTAAACTCCATATTGAGACCATATTTGACCCTGTGTAGTGGTTGCAAAATGTTGCCACGTTGCCAACTCCATTTTTCTTTTGCTAAAATTTTGGTGCAAATTTATAAAGATTAAAAATGGTGCTGTCCAGGTTCTTCTTCTTTTTTTGCCAACTCCATTTTTAATACTCCTAAAATATTTAATTGAGACGTTAGAAAAAGGAAGCATTAAGTTGATAATTACTTTAATATATACACAAAATTGGGTCGCCTAACACAAACAATAAAACAGGACCATGTATTTGCATGACATAATATCCATTAATAAGCTGACACGTACATTGTTCCGAATTCGTTTACTGTGTTTCGCACCAGGAAACTGGTCAAGACCCACTTTAAGTAGTTAAAATAAAATGATCTATGAACAAAGCTTGTTAAGTGCTAAACCTTTTGAAGACCATTGAGATCTATCTAATCACGTATCTTCACTGGCTTTCATCTTCTAATAATGACGTTGACATCTACAGTAAATACCAAACCGTTAGATCAGAAGAAGATTAAGGCTGAAACTCTTCTTGCTAGAGACAAAACCGCCACGTGGTTTTGAGGATTACGGGTTCACCAGAAATAAAACATTTATACAACAATTTTTTATTTTTTCATAAAAGGAAAGAGATTTGCAGCATTTGCTTTGGCATTATTAATGTAAACATGCATCGCGATAAAAAGTCACATTGACAAAGGCTTCACTGAGGTTTTATACATCCTATTATCCTTTGAATTCCATTGATTAAAACCTCGTAATTAAAGTCTTTTTCATTAAAATAACGAACATCAAGATCATAATATTGTTTAAAAATTCAATAGTAGAATATTGGATGTGCTATCAAATAAATAAAAAATAATAAACTATTACAAAATTACAACAATCATACAAGGAACTATTTGAAGGATAAACTATGAATAATCATTGCTATTTTTTCATTTTTTTCTAAATTATAATAGTTAGTTTAAAGAATGGACAAAATTGAGTCATCCGTGATGTGATAAGATTATTCTTATCGCATCAAGAATAGAATGGGTAGCCACCGGTGAACTGTTCCTGGTCAAACTGAAAGCTACGTTAAGATTAGATGTTAAAGTTTCTGAAATAGAAAGATTTAATTATATATTAATAGAACAAAATATCTTCAAAATTAGCCATTATCTTAAGTTTTTTTTTTTTTTGCTAAAATTGGGTCATCATATTCAGTTTCCTATTGATCTACGCATCTTTTTTTTTTCCTTTTCTTTTTTGCTAAAAGAACTACGCATCTTTCTCATTCTCTATCCCACTGACTGCTGTTAAGAAAACTAAAAATAGCATCAAACCAAAATCTAACTTATAAGATTTTTTGAAGCTATGTTGTAGACTTTATTAACATATAACTTATATATATATATTATATACAACTTTATTTTTCCATACTGCGTATAGTTTCATTAGGATAATCATTTAAAAATAGTTACAGAAAATAATAATTTGATATAGTTTTATATATATATTCTCTCTACTATAAGAGCTTGGCTGCTCAAACCAACTTCTCTGCTCTCTTACAAAAAAAATCAACGTTCTTCCTCCTCTCTCACAACAAGAACTCTTTCTGTATCTTCTTGATCATCTTCAACACCAATAAATAATATTTTCATCTGTGATAGTTTCAGAAGGAAATGGACTACGAGGTATCAAGAACCGGAGAGATAGTAGAAGATTCAGAGCAGATTGATTTACCACCTGGCTTTAGATTTCACCCAACAGATGAAGAACTCATAAGCTGCTATCTGAGTCCAAAGGTTCTAAACACCTCCTTCTCCACTATAGCCATTGGTGAAGTTGATCTCAATAAGGTTGAGCCATGGGACTTGCCATGTAAGTTTAGTTTCTTTTCTGTATATTTCTATGTTTTATTTTTCCTTTAATAACTCTGTTCTCATGGTGGAACAGGGAAGGCTAAGATTGGTGAAAAAGAGTGGTATTTCTTCTGCGTAAGAGACCGAAAATACCCTACCGGTTTAAGGACGAACCGGGCTACTAAGGCCGGTTACTGGAAAGCTACAGGCAAAGACAAAGAGATCTTCAAAGAAAAATCTCTTGTTGGTATGAAGAAAACTTTGGTTTTCTACAAAGGAAGAGCTCCTAAAGGAGTGAAAACCAACTGGGTCATGCACGAATATCGCTTAGAAGGCGCATATGCAATCAATAGTCTCCCTAAAGCGGATAAGGTAACAATTTAATATATAGATAATAGATTAGTTGAAGTAACTGACCTTTTGATACACATCACACATGTACGTTGGGCAAGCCGAATGAAACATCGGCCTTAACCTCCAAAATATTTTGAAAAAATTACATGTATACTGATCCTCAAAAAAATAAATCAAACCCCCAAATTCATTAAAAAAAAATTAGGTGACATCGTTAAGAAATCGCCTTAAGCCGCATAATTCTCGGAGCCGACCTACACATGTTATCACGCTTTTTTCTTATAAGTGACACGAAAAAAACAGTTTTTAATGGTTTTGTTACCATGTTATTTTGAAAATTTGAACCATGTATTGCGTATTTGTGTGTGTAAAATTTCGAGTTTGGTGTTGTTTGTGGATGCAGAACGAATGGGTTATTAGTAGAGTTTTTCAGAAACAGGCAGATGGTAAGAAGATGCATATATCCAGTTTACCGATGCTCGGTTCAGGGATTAACCCATTCGAATCAGTCGGTTTACCTCCACTGATGGATTCTTCTCCATACCTTAAGAGCGGAGGAAGAGACTCTTTGGCAGGACCGTTGTCTCAACTCTCCGAGTCAAAAGATGAATGTAACTTTACCATGTTTTGTTCTTCATCGACACACTTGATACCGAACATTGGTTCTGTACAAGATAATTCTTCGATATTGAAGATGTTGCTTGACAGTGAAGAAACAAAGCTTAAGAAGAATCTTCAGGATTTGGGTACATTAGAGAACGAATCAACCACGAGTTCTTGGTACGGTCACAATCTTTCTGGTTCGGCAGCTCCGGTTGAGGTCGATTGCTTTTGGAACTTCTGAATTTAGAAAGTGGAACATATTTAAAATTGGGGTATATATATGGGGAAAACGATTATAGGGTATTTTAGGGTTTTATAGTGTTGTGGCTTTGCTCTAGGTTGTAGACTTTAGGACTTTGGTTATACAAAGATATTTAAAGACTCTTGTAACATTTTGTATAAAAAGCCAAACTGTGAAAATATTTTTCTTTCTCTCTTTTACATGAAAAGAAAACAAGCACCAATACTTGAGCAAGGTTCTCATTCCACACAATACTTAACACAACAAATCACATCTTTATATATTTCAATGAAATTTCAAAAATGTGGAAGAAGTCCAGTTCATCCACATATTTGACATTTGTCTGATAATATGTTTATATTTATTATCGTTTTGCATATTTTGTGTACATATCTGTTAATGCCTCATTCACACAGAAAAACTAAACAAAAAATATTTATATTTGTTGAAGAATATCGACTTTCATACGATATTAAAAAGAATTATCCAAATTCACCTGCTATTTGTTTTTCGTTTTGGGAAAAAATATATGTATAGTTTACATGCTCTTGTTTCCTCCAGCTTCTTGAAAAGGCAAAGGTACAGATTTGAAGGCTCTGTACTTGCCAACATTGTTCAAATGCTCATTCTCCAACCTGATTGCACACACCAAATTATAGCATAAAAGTTCCTCTTTTTGGAAATATGGCTTTAGAAGTATAATTTGAACCTGAAGAAGTTCCAAATGCCACGACGAATAATCTCTAAGGTGGCAACAACAGCAATCAAAGCTCTTTTATGCAAAAATGGAGCGTCTCTAATCCCAAGAACCGTCTGCATCCACGCCAGCCTCAGGACCACATTCACCACCTTCAATTTATTTACAGCATCTCAATCCAACAGCCAACAAGTAATAATATTCCACGAAAAAAGAAAAGATGATGTGTTTTGTTTTTTAATTACCATGACAATGAAGTAAGTACTTTTGTGAGGGATTAAGAGTTTGTCACGGAGCCAAGGGTTTTTGGAGTTGCGGTTCATGAGACCCCAATCCTTGAAAATGTCCCAATAAGTATTGAACAATGTGGCAATGATGGACGTTGTTACAGCCAACGTAAGCCAGTACGTCCCTTTATGCATCTCGAAGACTGTCCTAGCCGCAACCGCTATTATAGTCGAGAGATACTTTAGCGCGTTTATACCATTATTTCTGTCTTTCTCCTCAACCAACCTCCTTATACACTGCAACCAAAACAAAACAAAAAAATAGTTTTGGACATTTTGAAAAGATGTTGTTAGGATAAATAGGCAATTTAAGTCCTGGAATATTAGACAAAGACAATCTAATATATATATATATATATATATATATATATAAATATTATAAAACATTTTGGAAAGTGGTTTTCCCAAAAATAAATTAGCGTGTAGATAATATCATACTAATAATTTTTTTTTTATAAATGTCATAACATATACAAACATTGCCTATTTCATGTAACGTATATGGATTTAATACCTGAGCAAAGCGAAACCAGTAAGGAACAATGGCAACGATAAGGTAGAGTTTTTTATAAATGTCACTCTCATAGCATTCATGTGTTCGTTTCTTGAAATCTCCAGCCCATCCATAATAACAAACATAAAACAATAAGTTTCTGAATGCTTGCACCTGCCAAACCAAACCCTAATCATTTAGGAGGAAGCACACACAGTTGATATAACCGGATCCTAAACCAAACATCTCGTTACCTGGCTTGTTAATTGATCTGCTAGAAAGAAGTCCGGGAGAATAACCTAGCAATAAAAACACAAACTCATACACTCTATAGAACAATAAAGAGATTACTTGGATTGCACGTTACCTTGTAGAGCGGGCTTAAAACACAACGGACGACGCATCCGATGAAGAAATATCGACTTGCACGATATATTATATTAAATGGACAAAACGCAACCGTCATCAAGCACTGTAATCATCATAATAAAATAACATTTTCACAGCTAAAAACGTGGATGTACATTGATATCAATGATCAAGAACTTACGAGGAGAAGAGCTAAAGGAACTAGCTCCGTGATGACACTAAAACTTCTTGTTCTTGGATCCATTTCCATGTCAAGATTCGAGAGTACTCCTCCGAATGTTAGAACTGCTAGACCAGCGCCAAGAAGAAGAACTTCTCTGTAACCTAGATCAGTCCCATGCTCAAAACCAAAGATAAAAGGGTAGTTTACTCTATATCTACTCCAGAAGTATATGTCTCCAGCAAACATAAACAGATGAACCGCAACGAACCCTAACAAGCTGCAGAAAAAAAGGCGTTACATAACCGCGTATGTTTTCAAAATGATTAGTGTAACGTTTGTAACCAACCTGTAAAGAGGGAAGATGTTCTCCATGTACTGATGTCTACCTTCACTTTTTGTTATGCCTCTTATATGTACAACAACCACGATTGAAATGGCTAGAGCCGCGGCGCAACCAGACAAGAAGCCTGTAGAGATGAAGATGATGTTTTTAGTCTACTAGAAAGATAATAAACCTTAAAGATCTGAGTACCGAGGCAGTATGTGACTCTGTGTTTCTCCCTCTTAGTTTTAGGCCTTAAAGATTTCATCCCGTCTCGGTGATTTCCATTGGCGAAATGTTTAATAAACGTAGCTTCCACTCTAGACATGAGCCTCGAGACCTGAATATGTTAAAGATAATTAAGTCTGGTTTTAAAGTAACATTCAAGAGAGATTAGTTGGTTCTTGTAATAACCTCATCGCAGCTTCCTAAATAAGAATGATCCACTGTGTTTAGATAAGGCTTAGATGTATTTCTTGAAGTAGTCTGTGTAACATTATAAAGATATCAATTTAAAATATAGAGCTAACAAGATGCTTAATTAGGTTACAAACCTTGTCATACTTCTTTAGTATCTTTGAAAATCCCAACTGATTCAAGAAGCTGTAAAGATAGTGAGAGATGATGAGAATACATATATAGTTTTAGGGAACTTAAAAGAATAACAAATCTTACCAATAACTCTTTAAGAACCTAAGTTTCTGATAGAACTCAACAAAAGCACGGCTCATAAGCTCCTCAGCTCTCTTAAGCTCAACTTTGCTGAAGGTTTGCTCACTTGTGATACCCATGATCATGGATTTAAGAGTTTGCAACGGGGTTTCGTGTTCGATTTTAATCTTTATGTGATCCAAAATCTCTACTCGAGCAGGTTTGTAGACTTTCTTATCTTCAGTCTGTTCCACTTCTTTGATCACATCCAATGGTGAAGTGGCTACACATATCAAAACATTCACAAAAATGATTCTGGATGTGACTTAAATCTCCGCGAACTAGTAAAAGACCAGATTTTCTAGAAACCCTAAAACAGTTATTTTAAGTGAGAAATGGAGTTACTAAACCTGGAGCCCTAGGGGTTGAAAGTGGTGAAGATTGAGTACTAGAGACAGCACTAATGTTAGGAAAAACAATGTTTGGATTCTCAACTTTAACTCTAAGAGCAATCAAAACGTTAAGTTGTCTACTAAGCTCATCAGCTTCTTCCATAACACTCTCCACTTTCTGCTTATAGAATCTCAAAACCTTGTTGAGCTCTCCATCAAGCCGCCTGAAAAACTGAACGTCCATCTCTCCTCCTTCCTCAGCTGAGCATAGAAACGTCGTCGTGTAGGTTCCCGTCTTGTCCTCGTTGATGAGGATGACTTGCTCCTCGTCGTCGTCGAAGAGATGGTAATGGTGGTGGCGTTTGCTGCTTAGAGGGTTGTTGTGTTTGTGTGATTTCTTTGGGGAGCCTCTGGCTCGGTTTGTGAGACCGCTGAATGCGCGGTAGAGTGATATGGTTCTTGATAACCCTGTTGGACCGGTTCCTTCTCCGAGTTGGTTTACGGTGTTGTCGGATTGGACCGGTTCGGTTTCTCCTTTTTGTGGAGGAGGAGGATGAGGAGGTGGAGGTGGACGTTGTTGTTTTTGGAGGTGGTGACGGAGGATCTGTTTGACGAGGGCTTTGAGAGAACGGTAATCCATGTAGGCTTCACGCCATTCTTGGATCATCTGCGTTTCGTATTCTTTTCCAAACTTCATATTGTTCCCTGGATCTGGTTAATTTTCCCTGTAAACTTTTCTTTGTTTTTTCTCCTGAGAATCTTTAATTTTGTTATAAAAAGTTGTGTGTGTAAGAACTGGAACTAGATCGAGTTTCAGTTTTATGTGTATGCAAATCTCATGCAGCTTAATTAAGAAGGGAAAAATATAGGTTAACAGATTTATAAATGGGAATAGTAATCACTAACATCACTTTCGAATCTATCTGAATTTCTTTGTATGTCTGTGGACCGTTTTTTAATAGGTTAACAGATTTATAAATGGGAATAGTAATCACTAACATCACTTTCGAATCTATCTTCTACGCAAACGAACCGTCTCTGAGAACACCACCACTTAATCCCTAGAAACCACCAGTATCTCCGTAGAAACCGTCTTCTTCTCTGCGACATTCATAGCTACTGTCCATCTTCGCCCTCGGCTCAAGTGAAACTTCTCGGAGAATACGGAAACTTCATCCCGCCAATCCGTCTTTCTCTCCCAAATTATTCGTCTCTGTCGTCTTACGCACCTTCCCCATCTCCTCCGGTACTTGAATTGTAAGCTTCCTCTGTCTCTACTCCGCGTCCCCAAAAATGTAAGTTCTCTCTTTCTTCTGTTCACTCTCCTCTTAGTTTCGTATTATTCCTCTATACAATTGGGTTGCCCACTGCATGTACAGTTCTCTCGTTGTCATAAGTAGATCCATACCTGTTTGGTGTATTCCAATTTAAATGGAATAGAAATTCATAAAATTCCAGACCTTTGGCGATTTTCTATGTTATTTACTGTTTTTACCGACATGAAAAAACTAAAATTCCAGACCTTTGCATATTCTATTTGAAATAGAATAGAAAATATTATAT